CTGCATAGCGCTCATCAAAGTACTCCACCATGGCGGTCTTAATCGACCTGAACATCTCCGGCAACTGTGCCCGGAATGCAGCAGCAACCTCATCATGCAGGAGCTCTCGAATCCTGGCATCCAACTCCTCTGTACCCATCTGCACCACCGGCTCCGGTGTTGTTGGCCCCTCCTGGCCTCTGTCCCCTGATCCTGATCCCGAACCGGATCCAGCCACGAAGCGCCTCGTCATCACCATTCTGAAACATACCACAAAATATCAGATAATCCATATAAATAACTGGGAGCCAACTCCCTACTAACCCTAAGGATCGTGACTTACTTGACACGCGTATGGGTCCTGTGCTTTCAGTAGTACGGGCCCATACTACCTTTCACACATACCCATATTTGTCTCAAGCATCACCACAATGCCCTAACTGAATACACAACATGGTGAGCGCTCAATCCTCACTCCTAGAGGAGTGCTAAATATCTCATAACTGGCCTGCCGGCCCCACACAACCCACCCATCCATGAAACTTCCACCAACCCTGCAGCACTAGTGTATGCTAGTCATACATAATGCTGGACCCTATAGACTTTCGAATATCCAATCCTACCCTAAGCTCCCAATCAAACAAGAACAGAACATAAGGCCAAATCAAACATTCTCAGGCTATGAGATCTTAATTATGTATAACCGTGATGCATACACTAAGCAACTACAGTAACGATGTCAATCTCATATAAAGGAAACCCTAGGCTAGCAGGCATCATGTAATCAGGCAATTATATCATGCAATTCCTGAAGATCCCTAGCCTAGTACTAACATGTTGTTCTAACATATCTCATAATCAAATAACTTGCATGGTATTTTGGGGTCTACTTACTGGCTTTGGCTGATCGTACACCCTGCATCCTCCTTTACTTATTTTGAAAACCTTTTTGAAAAAAAATCATTTTGAAAATCCTTTCCTTGATTTGAGACTGGAGTTACACGCATGTTCCTCCAATTCACTCAAACCAAGGCTCTGATACCAACTTGTAACACCCAAAAATTCAAGCCAATTTAAACTTTTAAAAACATTTCAAACCATTAAAATCATTACAACTTTGTTTTCAAAATGTATAATATCAGACTTCTCCCAGAAACATAGACAAAACATGAGGAGTTGTACGATCACGCCTTCGCCTTGCTGCGATCCCCTGATGTACCTGAAACAATAAACTGAAACTGTAAGCTCGAGAGCTTAGTGAGTTCCCCCAAAATACCGATACACATACAGTCCACATAACCATGTCAGCAAATAACATATCATAACAAACTGAACTGCATATAATGGGTCCACAGCCTTACAGACTGGATTACCCCTGGGCCCACAGTATGAGTCTGGATTGCCTTACGGGCCCACAGCTCACATATGGCTTGCCATCGAGCCCACAGTACGAGTCTCCCTTAGCCCGTAACTGGAATGCTCTCGAGCCCACAGTACGAGTCTCCCTTAGCCCGTAACTGGAATGCTCCTAGGGTTTGTTGGCTACCGCACAGAGCAGTACAACCTCAACCCATCCCACGTAACATACAACATAACCACTGAGCATGCAATAATCATATAACATCACAGGTAGTCCTACAGGTCTACCTAACTGGCATAACCACTAGCATGCAACTCTAACTGATACTCAACATCTAACACTGCTAGGATAACATATCCAATGGGCCGACCTTGGTGCCTTAGACCCCTTAGTATAGTGAGGATAACTCACCTCGCAACTGTCGTCTGAAATTAGAAAGCTCAACTCCCGGATCACCAACACGAACTCCGCCACCTATAGTTACCATAAAACCATTTTTCATAAATTTCCAAATTACCAGAATACTCTCAGAAGTCAACTGGTCAATTCTTGGTTAAAGTCAAAGTCCACAGTCAAATTCAACAGTCCATGTTGACTAGTTCACCGACTCGTCGAGTCCTTCCTGAACTCGAGAAGTCGTGAAATCCTTGGTTGGCTCGTCGAGTTCCCCTTTTAAGTCGCCGAGTTCATACGTGTCCAAAGATTGGGAATAACCCTAGCCGACTCGCCGAGTCAGTCGACTGACTCGCCGAGCCCAAGGCAATCTTCATCGGACTCGCCGAGTTGTTCATCAACTTGACGAGTTCATGACCATCTTCATATGACTCGTCGAGTTGACTATGCAACTCGCCGAGTCCTTGCAGACCTTCATCCATGCAGACACTTTTTAAGCCATGCCAAGGTTCCATATTACAGATCCAAGCTTCTAAGGCATGTTTATCACGTAAAGTTGCAAACTTTACACGCATGCAAGGCCCTAAAGGCTCTAAATGACCAATGTAAGCTTCTAATGGAGCTTTACACCTTAGGAGAGTCTCATCCTTGCAAGAGCTGGAAACTTTATGGACATAGGACTCAAAAAAGGTTCAGATCTGGAGTTTCAACTTCAAATCTAGCTCCCATACCAAAATCCCTTCATGAATAACTAAAGAAAACCCTAGCCTCCACATATGAATGATTCTATAAGAAAAGAGGTCAAGGTAACAGCTTATTACCTCCAAGGCGTGCCCAAACTGAAGTAGACTCTGGATCCACACGAATCCTTGATGCTAGCCTCTTGATCTACAAGTTTCCTTCATAAAAATTACTTCTCAAAGCTCCAAAACACTATCCAAGCTCACACTCACGGAAATTAGGGTTTCTGGCTCTCAAGGAGTGATAGAGGACAGTGGGAGGCGCTAATGGTCCAATATATAGGGTGCACAAACCCTGAAACTTAGGGTTTCCGCTGCCAGCTCCTATTCGTCGAGTCCCCCATGCCGACTCGACGAGTCACTCATTAAATGACGTGTCCCGACCCGCTGCTACTCGACGAGTCACAGTGTCAACTCGTCGAGTAGACCTTAAAACGTGAAATCTAAATGGAAAGTAATGATACCTGACGATTGGGATGTTATAGAAAGAGTAATAATCTCGGACCCGTTTCCCCGAATCGTAGTGGGTTTAAGTTAAATTAGCTCAAGACATGCCTTTAACCGGAAGCTAAAAACTCCGACGGCAACTGGATCGAGAACCCAAGGCGTACACAACTGATTCGCAACACCGGAAGGTTTTGTATGAGGAGTGAAGTCTGGGATTTCGAGAATCGAGTCGACCATAGCAAGAGATTCAAGTAGTTTTGATCTTTGGGCATGTAAATTTGTTTTCTGGAATAAGAGAAAGTAGAGAGAGGGGTACGGTGGGTTTAGGTGGGGGCGAGTGGGCGGCGGATGTCGACGATGGGGGAGGAGGTTGGAGGTGGCTGATTGTGAATATGGTCTGCCTTTCTTTTTTTGCCTGTGTATTCTTTTAGTTGCAGGTGAAATGTAGGGGAGAAGAAGTATGTGTGTGTTTGTGTGTGTGTAATTTTAAATAAGACAAATCAGCATTTAACAATGAATGACCGTTTGTTAAAAGTTATGAAACCATATGAACTATCTATGAGGTTTTTAAAACTTAGGGACTAAACTTTAGATTTCAGGATACCACAGGGACCTTTATGAAGTTTTTTCTTTATTAAATTTTGGTGTATCATTTCTATTAAATTTTTGATATATCATTTTTGTGTTAATCACACTTGTTAATGGAAAAACTCGAAACCGAAACCAACAAATCAAAAATACTAAAGTGGAACCGAAAAAGACCCAAAAATTAAATTGAAAAAAACACACACAAGGACCACCAAACCGAACGTAAAAACACCGAGACTAAAAAGGACAGGTTCGAAAAAAGACCGAATCATCTTGAGACCGACCCGAGACTGATTGGGGGACCGCCAATGTGCATTTCTATATTTGTTGTGTTTTTTATTTGGCCCAAATCCTTATATAGAATGTCATGTGCGTACTAAACTTAAACTAGTAAAATGTCCTACAACCAATTTAGAATAAATTAAAGGAAAAGTAACGAAAGACATTATATTTTTCAATTTTGTTCGGTGTTGACCATTTCACCGGAACCCTTTTGGTTTCCGATTGTTATACTGAATCGTAAAATGGTGACCATGTCGCATGATGACGTAGCATGAAAGTCACTATATTATTATTATTTTTTTGATACTCCATAAACTTTTTTTTAAATCAAACATCTTTCATACGATCGTCTACATCCCACCGATAGAGCTACATTTGGCAGTGGAAACACATTTGCGGTGTATTTATGGTGTTATTCAAAGAGTTGTTTGCTATTTGGGATAGGATTTTGTATTGCTCGCCAATTGTTCGACAAAATTCTTAACTTAACCAATAGGGTAGCATAAAATCACTAAAACGAGATCATATATGAAGGTTCATATCCCACCTCCAATTCTAGACTTTAAATCGAAGATTCGCTTGCTACTTTAAATAGGAAAACTTGACACCAAATATTTCTTCAAATGAGTTTAAGGAACCACAATCAAGTATTAAATATTTCAAGGGAATGCAATCAAGTTTAATGGAAGAAGATTTACTCTATTAGATTTCAAGCCAACATTGGTTTTCTTTCTCGAAGGAATGCAATCAAGTATGTACGTATTCAAGGAAATCAAGAGGAAGTTGAAAGTGAAAAAATCATGTTACCTTTTCGAGTCTTAAACCAATGCAGGGATAGTGGAAAATATATGTCACAATATTATATAATATAATGAGGATTTGGATAGAAGTGCATCAAAATTGTATAATTAGAGCTTAAGTCAAGTAGCCATTTACTACGAGGATGAAGGAAACTTATGAGGGTTGGATGTAAAAAGAAGATAAGGAGTAGAAGATGATGAAGAAGAACATAGGAATGTTGTTGAATTACTTGATATCCTCTTTAGCCCTCAAATGAAGCTTTCAATAGTCTTACAAACATTAAAAAAACAATGAGAGCCCCAACCTAAAACGTACACCAATTTACAGTCCACCACAACAATGTTATGTAGGTTTTACAGTTTAGTGGTTAAAAAAAGTGGGAGGTGGGGAGAGGGTGGTTTACCGAAAGTGGGAAGTAGGGAAGTAGGTGATTATGGATCGTGGGAAGTGGGGTGAGGGGTGGTCACCGATCATATATATAGGTGAGGGAGGGTTGGTTACTGGTCGTGTCAGGTAGGGAAGGGGGAGGAATGGGTTTGATAATAGTACGTATAAAGGAAGTTGAAACCACAAATAAAAGTTATGGTAACCATAAATAATGAAAGTGGGAGACGGAGGGAGAGGGTGGTTATCGATTGCGGGAGGTGGGGGAGTGGATGGTTGCTGATCGTGGGAGGTGTGGGTTATCATCCATTTCTCTTTAATGCACAATATAACTATACAAAGTGTTTATTATATGTACCTTCTAAAATTTAAGACTTAATGAATATGCTTTACCATATAGTTCTTGAAGCAACCTTCAACGGGTGACCACAACTCACTTGCATACGATAGATCGACTTGGTAATCTTAGTAGGAATACAAAAGCAAACGTGACAAAGATAACTCAAAGCCGCAATGTCGGCCTTCGAGATTTTGCTCAAGTAAGAATGCCAAAGTTCAGTAGCACATTCAATTTTCGATGAATGGAAGAGAGGCACACACAGGAAAATTCACAAGCGAATTAAAGATCCCCACATTTGTTGCATCTATAAACTAACTGAATCTAGGCAGATGAAACAAGTGCATCAACACGCGTGAGAATAGCTTTATATATAGGGGAAGTGTCACTCTCAACCGTGACCCTTGTATAGCAATCATTCCATGTATAGCTGCTTTCTCGGCCTGCTGATGGTGATTTGTCATAAATCTCATCCCAAACAGCACCATGATCAAAGTGTCCAACCTCATTGATCTCACAATAAGCCTGTCAAGTACATATATTCAATTAATTAATACGATTTCATCTGCTTAAACAGAAGACATATACATACCGCGTTGTCTTGGGTGAATCTTTGCCAAGGGATGGACCAAGTAATCATTCGGTCGCATGAAGCATTGTCTGAGTATTTGCCACGATACACTACAGCAGCCTGAGATCCGCTAGGCACTCTTGGGGTTTTTGTGTGCAAATACGCACCCCATTGTCCATTCAGAATGAAAGTTGGGTATGGTGATGGTCCAATATCACCAAACCAATTGCGACTTGCTGCGTATGTTAGAGTTTCTCCTGTTGCATTGTAAAGCATGCAAAGGCACGTAATCCCATTGCCCCACTGTGCCTTGAGGTCTTTCACAAAACGCAGGGCGTTATCATATTTGTTACCCTCGTTCATCATCTTGTAACCTATTCGTGCCTTGTTTTCCCGAGTTGGATTAAGGCGCATTTGCGCCAGTGTTTTGTTCCCGATTGGTTCACCAAATATGCTGCGCGCCTTACCTGATTTGATCCATGGTAGCAACAAATTAAAACCAAGTTTTTTTATGACAAATTAAAAGAGGCAATAGTTTTCATGTTTTCAAATACCTAGCTAATCGATTGATTTTCAACTCTTTAGTCATTTTTATGTAATTTAGATTTACAACTTGAAATTAAATTATGATAATATTAAACATGATTTGACTTCCCAAAACCATAGAAACACGATGATGAGTAGATATGCCATGAAAGCGAATATATATGCCTAATAGAGAAATAATTTAATTACTAATGAAAAAGTCAACTAGGTAGGAAAGGAAATGTACGTATGATGTTACCTAGATATTCTGTTATGGAAGAGATTTCTTCTTCAGACTCGAACTGAAAAATATCACCCTGAACCATTGAAGAAGAACTTTGGAAAGCCAATGCAGACTCGAGCAGAGCTACCACTTCAGACATTGAAGGTCGTTTCTTAGGATCATTTTGCAAAGATTTACTTGCGGTGTAGGCAAAACGTTGTAGACATTTCGGCTGAATTTGGCTTACTACCCTTGAATCAACGATTTGATTAAGGGTTTGACTTCTCATGTGTTGTAGGATCCAATCGGCTCGATCAGTCAAATCAGGACTGGGGATGATCTTATCACGCCAGGCAGATGTCCCGCTTAAAACTTCCAGTAGCACCACCCCAAAGGAGTAGACATCTGCTTTTCTTGAGTATTTGTGTGTCTTAAGGAATTGAGGATCTACATATCCCCACGTACCCCGAATATTAGCTGTATTCACTTCAGACTGCGGTTGGTTTGCAGGTCCTACCTTTGATAATCCTAAGTCTGCAATTTTTGCAGCCCAATTATCGTCCAACAAAATGTTGGCACTCTTCACATCAAGATGAATAATCTCCTATCCGAGACTCCGGTGCCGGTGTGGAGGTAATCTAGCCCACGCGCAGCCCCAATACATATCTTGACACGTTGCTCCCACGTCAATGAAGAACCACGATTCATGTACAGATGATCAGCAAGATTTCCTTGAGACATATATTCGTACACCAAGATCATCTCTTGATGCTCGTTACAATAGCCCACGAGGTTGACAAGATTGGAGTGCCTGCACTTGGAAAGCATCTGGATCTCCGTTTCGAACTCTCCAATGCCTTGTTTTGATTCTGGGGTCAATCGTTTCACTGCCACAAGAGTCGTCGTCGATCCATCACCAACAGCGCCCTTGTACACAGTTCCGAAACCTCCTTTTCCGACGATTTTAGACTCACTGAAGTTGTCGGTGGCTTTCTGTATTTCATCCAAGGTGAATTGCCGGCAAGGCCTTTCGTGAACTAGGGACATCTTTGGTCTATGGATGCTAAAGAGTAAAGGCAGCGTTCAATTTTCTTTTTTTAGTGGATGCGTAGCTGGTAATTATGGAAGAGATGTGACAATTAATGTCCGGTAAGTGGTGAGGATTGATCAGGTCCATACGTTGTAGTACGTACTTATGCTTATCGGCACATGTAAAAGATTGAAGTCAACCCTCATGACCTAGTCGCATAGACGTAAAACCATTGACACTAATTAGTGGTGGTTAGTATTTATTTCAATAAAATCGTGAGATGATGACAAAATGCTTTCAAGAGAATAGCTCTTTTTTTTCACAAATAATCAATAATTTGGGGCAATTGCCATGCGAAATTAGTGTTTGGTAGGAATTTCATCATTTTGGTATTGTCCCAAAAAAAAATCTAATATACAGTTTAAAATATTGCATATACTTCGAAATCGTTTATATTATCGCAAAAAGTATTATAAAAACAATAATAAATAAAAAGGTCCTTTTTATTGTTGGGAGTGATTTTTGAAAGAAACTTTAATGTAAAAAAAAAAAAAAACCTTAAACAGGAGGTCATTTCATAGCAAATAATGATTTTGCAATTGCCCCGATAGAAGTGAATAAAACGGATCGTTTTTTTTTTTGAAAATCCGAAATATTATTGGATATAAATTATATCTGTAAGATTGTATGTGGTCCTTCAAAAATAGAAAACTGGATTTTTATCTGGATTTTTTTGGGCCTTAAAACCCATAAGAATAAGATTTTCTTCATAGAGACGAATACTTAGTTCTAACAGATAAAAGCCCCAAAATAATCATTTTACCCTGCTAGCTATATTTGGTATAAATAAAAATGGTAAACTAATACCATCTTATGAACCACATCAACCCGTCCCAAAACTCACATGGGATGGGATCAGTCGCGGTATACTAGCGATTTTTAGGCGTGCCATTGATTGAACCATTGACCTCATGTGTGGAATTCCGCTCTTCAACCGTTAGGCTCCTAACATATGGGTCAACTTAGTGTAAATAAGTGTTGGTAGCATAGGTTTCAACATACCGTTAAAAACGTTTGCTATTCTCGACTTTTTTTTTAAGTATTCTTGATTCCAAACTCTTTCTTCATAATGGCATCCTAACAAACTCATGCATATATACTAAATCCGTTTAGTGTAATTTGAATTTGTGTGAGATAAACATCGTTGAAAAAAAATGGTCTGATGCAAAAGATGTGTTATGTTATATAACCCTACAAGAAACACCCCGTTGATAAATCATATGGCAACGACTTGCAAAGTGGTAAAGAAATATTAGTGATGTACAAGCTTTAATTGAACAAATTGTGGAAACAAGAATACGTATGGGGGAATAAACTTCCTGGGATTTTTCTATGATTTTCATTGAATGAGGATGACAATATATACAAGAATGATGAGACAAACTTCCCTAATTACAGCCTATATTGACGGGACTGAATAAGGATAATACAACAACCACTTAAATGATAATGTCATATAGCTCTCGATAACACTCCCCCTCAAGGTGGAGAATGTATGTCTATCATTCCCAACATGTCAAGAGAGCTATGAAACACTCGCCCACATACGGCCTTCGTTAGCATATATGCAAGTTGTTCCTTGGTGTTAACATGAGGGATTTCTACAGTCTTCCTTTCTAAGTGATCTTTGATGAAATGTCGATCAATTTCAACATGTTTAGTTTTTGTCATGTTGTATCGGGTTGTTTGCAATCTTCACAGCAGATTCGTTGTCATGGTGTAACTTCATTGGTGACATTAAAGAGATCCCTAAATCTCTTAAGATTCATTTTATCCATAAGAGTTCACACACACCATGAACCATTCCTCTGAACTCCGCCTCAGCACTTGATCGTGAGACGACCTTTTGCTTCTTACTTCTCCATGTGACTAAGTTACCCCCAACAAATGTAAAATATCCAGACGTGGACTTTCCATCTGATCGATCTCTGGCCATCAGTAAAACCATTTACTTGGTGGTCTTGATTCTTCCCAAAAAAACAAACCTTTACCTAGTGATGACTTGAGATATCTAAGAATTCGATATACAACATTCATATGTCTTTCACTTGGAGCATGCATGAATCTACTCACCACACTCACAATGTAGGCTATATATGGTCTTGTGTGAGATAAATAGATAAGTCTACCTGCCAGCTTTTGGTACCGATCTCTATTTGCAGGGGTCTGATTCGGGACACTTTCTAGGTGATGGTTTGTTTCGATTGGAGTATCTACAAGCCTACAATTTAACATTCTTGATTCTGCTAATAGATCCAAGACATACTTCCTTTGGCTCATGGATATTCCCTGTGTTGATCCTGTCACTTCGATTCCTAGGAAATACTTCAAATTTCCAAGGTCCTTTAGTTCAAATTCGGTGGACAGTACTCCTTGAAATTTCCAAGGTCCTTTGGCTCATGGATAATCCCTGTTTTGATCCTGCCACTTCGATTCCTAGGAAATACTTCAAATTTCCAAGGTCCTTTAGTTCAAATTCGGTGGACAGTACTCCTTGAAGTTTCACCATTTCTTCTTCGTCATTCCCAGTGTGTACTATCCCAAGAAAATCCATAAGACTTTACTTGGATTTGGGGCATTAGGTGGCCCTTTGGTTGCTTCCGTAGTGCCATGTATGGAACGCGTAAGAGTTAAAATAAGTAAATTAAGCTTAGTAACCTTAATTTGATAATTGGGAGTTGTTTAGTGTTAACATCGAGCGCAATAATGTTCATTTTGGCGATGTTGGCGTTTCATTCAACTAGCAAAGTTGGAGAGTAGATTATCTATAAAAGTGAGTCCATTACCTATAAGTGCATGTTCCTACTATAGTATCGTACTTTGAACTTTTCAATGATGTAAATCTATTATGTGCATAACCTATATATATATATATATATATATATATATATATATATATATATATATATATAGAGAGAGAGAGAGAGAGAGAGAGAGAGAGAGAAGAGAGAAAAAAAAAGTTCAATAGAGAACTAATATTAATCAAGGAACCAATGAACCAATCCAAAGCGTCGGAATTTAAAGCGATCAACGGCAAAAGGAAGGGTTGTAAAATTTTATAATGGACGCACATGTACCGGATTATAATAAAACTCACTTCCTTTTTTTCATTTAAAATTTTTTTAGGCCAAGTTTTTTATCGAAAAAAAAAACCGAATATATCGTTGTACACGATTTTTCGTCCTCTTTCCATAGAGATTCATAATGATATATAAAAAACGAACTTTTTTTTTCGAAAAAAACTCACTTAATTTTCTTAGTTTATTCAATATTTAAGTTTATTTTTATCAAAAAAAAACTAATTATACCAAAAATATTAATTTTTTGTACTCTATTAATAAACATAATACCAATTAAAAAAAAATCGAACAGTGTACATTTACACTGTGAATCTAAACTGTAAATATTTTAATTTTTAACATTCACAATATGAAAAATCTCGAACAGTTCAGATTCACATTGTGAATCTGAATTACTATTATGCCCACTGTGAATCTGAGAAGGTTCACAAAAAATAAAAAAAAATAAAAAAAATAAAAAAACTTCGATCAGTGTAGATTCACACTGTGAATCTAAACTGTAAATATTTCAAATTTTAACATTCACAATGTGAAAAAGCTCCAATCAGTTCAGATTCACACTGTGAATCTGACTTATTATTATGCACACTGTGAATCTGAGGAGGTTCATAATGTGAATCTGAACAGGTTTACAATATTAATCTGAACATGTTCACAATGTGAATCTGAACTGAAATATCGTTTTTTTTTTTAACCTGAATATGAATCTATGTTTAAAAAGTACAAAAAATATGAGTTTTGATATATTTATTAAATTTTTTCTATAAAAAATAGACTTTAACTTTTTTCATCAAAGAAAATGAAGTGAGTTTTTTTCGAAAAAAAAAACGTTCGTTTTTTATATATCATCATGGATCTCTATGGAAAGATGACGTAAAATCGTGAACAACAGTATATTCGGTTTTTTTTATAAAAAAACATAGCCTAAAAAAAATTTTAAACGAAAAAAAGTTGTGGGTTTTTTTGTAAAGGGTGGATTTTTTGGTATAATCCGGTGTGTGTGCGTCCAATGTAAAAGTGTACATCTATTTCCTTGGCCGTTGATCGTTATGATTTCCGACGCTCACGGTTGGTTCCTTGGTTAATTATGGTTCTCTATTGAACCTCACCCTATATATATATATATATATATATTATATATATATAATATATATATATATATATATATATATATATATATATATATATATATATATATATATAAAAGTTGCATTCATGAAACATTTTACAAAGCGTTTTGAAATGGGGACAAACTTTCTTGTTTTGAATTGAATTTTGATCAATGAACACGTGCATCCATTTTAGGACGAGTTGTACACTCATATTGTCCTCATGCATTGAGAGATGGAATTCTCATCTCTTTTCAACCAGTGATGCATGTCCGTGAGTTGTGACTGACATTACCTTGTTTATAGTTCTAGTTACCATCTTTTTCATAGGGCTTACTTTGGGAAATCCCTTGGAGACAAGGGGCTTTTGTGTTGTGAGATTAGTTGACTTGGAGTTGGGCTTAGTTTCATATTATTCATTGCATTTATGCATTATGATGTTTATTCAAATTTTGATGATTATAACATCAGTATTGTACTTTATTGTTGCAATATTGTTGATGTTTATTCAAATTTTGATGATTACAACATCAGTATTGTACTTTGTTGTTGCAATATTGTTTTTCTCTATATTGAAGTTACGTTTAAGTTAATGAGTTTTTAATGGTTTTATGGGGTTTTTACATGGTGTATAAGTTTTATGAACATCTATATACTTATCTATATACTTCCCGTTGATGCTCATTAGACTCCCCAAGCCTAACCCTATTATTTTGGCACGGCTTTGGAGATTGAAGAGCTTAAGTACTTTTAGAAGACATTATTATTATGTTTGAAATAGTAATTAGCAGTTTACCTTTGCATCTTGATTGAATTGTTAATCTGTTTTTACTTTTTACATTTAACATTTAAAACTGTTAAACTACTTCATGTTTTGGGACGTTATCTACATAATTTTATCTAACTATTTTAAATGATTACTTCAAACTACACATACAAGAGGTGTTTCAGTTTTAGTCTAAATATGAGAATCTCTAGTGCTTTCCGGAGACTCTAGACATAATCCAAGTAAGAAAATGTACGGACTTTTATCAGGGTCTTGTAATTTTTCAGATGCTGAAAATGTATGGTGTTTTTTTAGAGATTTCTAATTTTCCATATGATAAAAATCTGTAACAGAGATTGTTGGAGCATCGTAGTATGTTTTTTTTGGTTTGGAAATAAAACCATATTCCAAATGAACCAAGCATCTAAACAAGTGATAGAGGTGGGCAAAAAAGTGAATTTGGACAGAAAAACCAAAACCACTAATTCAATACCAATATTGGGGTGTACTTGTGATGATGTATTTGATACAAGAACCGGAATAGGAATACAAATTCCATGGAATGGAATCAGCCAAGCCATTGTTCAGCACGTCGAGTATTGCCACCAACGGAATGGCGTATGCTTATTTTTTCGGTTGAGTACTTTTGTTGAAGCCACTCAAAACCATTCACATCAAGTTTCCCAGATACAGATTTCCCTTGTTTCCTTCGAGTTTGTTGCTCTCTTATGGAAGCCCATAGTTTCTCAATTGCATTCCTTTGTTTTGATGTAAAATGGCTTACATTGTCAAATGCGTGTTTCACAGTTATGTCTATCACTGTTTGGCACCTGTCAACAACAAACAACATAAGTATGAACACAGACATTAATTTCCATCTCCAAAACCAAATAATAATATCTAAAAATATAAAAGCACAACATACTTTCACCATTTTATAAATTTAGCAATTCTTTTTATTGTTTTAACAAAAGAAAGTTACCCTTGTAATGGGATGTATGTTTGACCTCAAAAGCAAAAGTGAAAAGATCTAAACCATATTTAAGAAAAAAGTCTAACCATGGGATTTTATAACGCTTTGCTGCAATCTCTAAACAAAGAATCAATGCTGCTCTTTCTAATTTCAAGAATCTCTTTGCTTCTTCATCTTCATCCTTTCTTATTTTAGATGCTGTTGCTTCAGCATCCAATTTTGCTTTCACTTTTTCATCTTTTTTTGATGCATTTGGAATCAAAGCGTCCAATCCAAAGGGATCAGACTCTTCCTTAATGCTTGATTCAGGAATAGGATTTGAGGAAGAATGTTGTTCTTTCTGACAATCTGATTCCACCATTTCTGAATCATCTTTCAAGGCTGCAGCTTCTTCTATGTCATTGTCTTTTGTTGCTACAGGAAGATTTGAGATAGCTTCTTTGATCCTTCCACAAGCCTTTGAAAACTAAAGAAACAACACCATGAAACAGTAAAAAATATGAAGTTTTGATTAAGAATTCAAAAAGAGCATACCACAAAACTATCATCAGTGAAGAGATCATTTGCCATAACCGCTCTTATAGTCCATAGACTCAAATGCTTCTGCTGCTTCTGAGTAAAGATCTACAAATCAAAATGAATATATATTTAGGCTTGCAATTGTCCTAATTCACAATCATATAAACATGAAAAGATCGGAAGGACTTAAACTCCTTACTTCTTTCAAGTCTTCTGCAGCGAAGAACAAAGCATGATAATCTGCCCTCACCCGTGGATCATTACAGGTTGTTGGTGAAGACATTGCTGCTTCAAGTATGGAAAAGAAGTAGTCACTATTACTAGGCTTAACACTTCCAGCCTGGATCAGCTGAATTGCAAGCTTTGATGCCTTGTTGAATTTCGAAGCATTGTTTATATGTGAACATATCTTCTTCATGGCATCTATGACTTGGGTTTCAGAAGTGTCGGCGATCGTTTTAAACCTCAAGCTTTTCTTTGGGGCAGGAGCTGAAAAACCATAACCAGCAAATCAACGAATTTATACATTAGCATCAACGTTTCGAACAAAATAAATTAATATCTACTTAATTTAAAAAATCGTTTATAGCATCAACGTTTCGAACCCTAAAAATGTTCTAAAGAAATTCGTACTATACCTTGAGGTCCGGAGTCGGGAGGATTGGAACGTTTAAGGGCGCTCTTGAGAGCAGGGGCTGGTGGAGTTGGAGAAACTTTGTCGGTGGCAGGATCCAACGGCGGTGGTGCCGCTTGCTCTGGCGGGGGAGGAGGCGGTGGCGGCCGTGCCGAAGGGGGAGGAAGCCCTTGGAATAGGTTACTAGACATGGCTAACTGATCACTGACGAATTGTTCCCAATATATTCGACTCTTTTCCACAGCGACGGCGAGGGAGAGAAGAGTGGTTTGGTGGTGGTTGATATTCGACTCTTTTCCAGATGATTTCTCTCTTCGTCGAAAAAAATCCACATACTTCGTCCGGTACCCAAAGGGTTAACTAATTAGTTTTCATCGTTAGGGTGTTCACGATTATTTTAATAATAATAACCAACTTAGAATTTTTTTTGAAAAATTATTGTAGCGTCCTATTTGGAATTATTTTCTTTTTTGAGTGGTGATTAAGGATTTGGGTATTAGTAAGCTTAGAACCCTTGAGGTATTGAGGTTTGGACTCTTTTGGGGGTGGTTGATGTAATTTGAGTTATCCGAGTATTTGGTTTGTGCTTTGGGGCCAAAGGGGTATTTTGGTAATATGTTCGTTTGGGCTTTTATGGAAATTGTATGTTAGTTCGGGACATTGTAAGGATAGTATGAGTTGATAGAAGCATAGAGTTTCTCGTTACCTTTCCGTGGATATAAGGATCGTCGGAAACGGACTTATAACGAAGAAGTTATGGCCTTCGGAAGTTTCGTGGTTTTAGGGTTTGGCTGGGTACGCGGGGCGTACTAGTGAAGTTAGAGGGCAGTACGCGGGGTGTACTGACCAGGATGGTCGCGGGTGCTCTCCGGAGTACGATGGGCGTACCATATGTACGTTGGGCGTACTCCAATCAGACCCAAACCTTATTTTAGAGTCTTGGACCCTATTTAAGCTCATTATCTCATAACCTAATCCTAATATCTTCAGCCTCCACCCCTCTAAACCCTAGAAATCGTCTCTAAGCCTCCATGGTGGTGTTTTTGAGCTCATTATTGTGCATCTTAGTGTTTTTGGGTCATTTCCAAGAAAATGGAGTTTTGTGCAAGGTTGTGGATCAAGGAAGAGCTTATGGATCTGGTTTATGTGCTTCATTTCCAGCTTGTTTGAGGTATAAAGCTATGACCTTGATCATTGGTGTCTTAGATCTATATTGTATGAGTTTTGGTTCCTTTTTGGCCCCATGGATGTGATCTAGTGGTTTGATGTCACTCCAGGAGCTTTAAGTTGCTCCTCTTGGTATTTCTGAGGTTCAAGGTCCATAAAGTTGGCACCTTTAGAGCCTAAATCCATCCATGCATGAGTTTGGGTCCTTTTCATGTTAGTTTTATGCTATATCATGATGTTGAGTTCTTTTGGGGCATGCAAAGTCACCAAGTCGGTGACTTTATGGTTCTAGACACTTGTATGGAATCAGATCTGTGATTTGGACTTCTAGACTTAAGTATTAAGAGCTTAATGTCGAAATTGGCTTAATGGATGCGTACGTTGGGCATACAAGTCTGTACGCGCAGTGTACAAGCCAAATTGCATGTACGCTTGGCGTACAGCTGGGTACACCCCGCATACTCAGTAAGGAGTGTTTTAGCTTTTGGGCTTCGTGTTGGGCTTCCTTTTTGGGCTTGGGTGTTTGAGTTCTTAATGGGCCATCTGAGTACAAGTGTTTGGACTAGGAAAACTGGTTGGGCTTTAGGATAAGGCCCATTGTAACATCCCAAAATTCATAACCAAAAATTTCATTTTTAAATAAGTAATTATAAAAACCAGTAGTCTGAAACATCAATAGTGTCAATCCATATCAAAACCAGTATATCAATTAACCAAAACTTGTCATAAAAAATATTATCATAGTACAACTCCCAAAGATCTCATATGTGGAAAATCATAGTGTGATACGCTACGATCATGTCGGCTCCTTTCCTTTCGTAGAAGAAGTACCTGAACCAAAACTGTAAACCGTAAGCACGAAGCTTAGTGAGTTCCCCCATCATACCAAATACCACACAATACACATACTGCCTAGCATATTTGGGTGCTGGCCTACCCTTTCGGTCTCTTTCAACTGGTAACTGCCGAGCATATCTGGGTGCTGGCCTCCCCTTCGGTCTATTTCAACCGGTAACTGTCGAGCATATTTGGGTGCTGGCCTCCCCTTCGGTCTATTTCAACCGGAAACTGGGTCTATTTCACCCCTACCACTACCACATAATATCCTAGCATATAAGCACATAAAACACATAACAGATAGTGACATACCAGACAATTATCACAAAGACAATCATATCTACTCTAAACAACTACTAGTGGGCCGGCATTGGTGCCTTCGACCCACTCATACAGGGAAGGTAACTCACCTCACACTGCTGAAGTCCACTGCAAGAAATCCTTAGTTATTGTCTTGGCAACTCCTCGAGCTATAAATACCAAAATATCACCCATTAGCAATTGGGTTCTAAACCATGATCCATAATCCATACTTGGGGTAAAATGACTATTTTACTCCTGGCCCAACAAGCCTCATAACTAAGGCCCAAGTCCAAAACCAATCAAGCCCAAAACTTCAAAATTCATAAAAGCCCACTAATGGCCCAATTTTCTAAATTGGGCCCAACCCCTCTAATGGGCCTTACTCTAAACCCAAAATAAGATATAGTCCAATAAAGCCCAAAATGATGATCCACTAATGCACATAGTAGCAAAGTCCAAGAAAATGGCCCAAAACAGAAATCCCAAACCCCAAAACCAAGTCCAAGGCAAAAGGTCTAAAGTCCCACTGATGCCCCGAACGCACGACGTTCCCTAGTGGAGTGTTGGGCGTTCACCACCGACTCAGATCGCGGACCCAAATCGGAACGCAGGGCGTTCATCGACCCTACGCGACGCGTTGGCATGCTGACTCCAAAAAGGCTTATTAAGCACTTAATGCTTAAAGCCACTCGACCAAAACATGGATTTGAGTCCTAAAGAGCATGTAGGACCATAAAGTCACTGACTTGGTGACTTTGCATGCCCCAAAAGGTTCCAACTTCACAATATAGCATTCCACTCTCATAATAGGGCTTAATCTCATGCATGGGCTCACACAATTCTAAAGATGCAAACTTTATGAATCTACACCCTCAAAAACGCCAAGAGGAGAAACTAAAAGCCTCAACAATGATCACAAGTACAAGATCTCAACTATGGGACCAAAAAGGGACAATATCCATGAGAACCTATATCTATGATGTAGAAGCACCAAGATGAGAAATTTATACCTTCAATAGACTGGAAATGATGTAAAACCTCTGGATCTACAAGGTCTCTTCAATCCCTCGCTTCTTCTCTAAACACCTTCTTCTTAAAAGTCACCCAAATAACACCAAAATGCTCAAGGTAATCTCAAAATGCATGCAAGAGGCTTAGGGTTTAGTTCTTAGGGTTAGATAGGATGGAGGCTGAAGGAAATGAGGGTTGGAGGTGAGTTAAGGTGTTTAAATAGGGTTCAAGACCCGAAAATTAGGGTTTAGTCTGCCTAGAAGAACGCAACAAGTTCCCTTGGGGAACGCAGGGCGTTCCCATATGCACCCGCGTCCATAACACCCAAGTACGCCATACGTACATATCTCGTACGCCCTGCGTACTCGGTTCAGCCCAAACCCTTCTAACTTCAAATGGCCATAACTTCTTCGTTATAACTCCGATTTTGACGTTATTTATATCCGCGGAAAGGTGACGAGAAGTGCTACACTTTTATCCACTTCATTTATCTTGAAAACCAACCGAACTAAAGTCCAAAATTCATAAAAGACTGAGATATCACTTTACAGTCATACCCTTGGCTTCCGAAGACACAATCGAATACATGGATAACTTAAACCATGGCAACTAGATCCGAAATGGGCTAAATCCTTCCTTTCCCGAAGCCCTAAACTCCATGACAACTGATGATTGGGCCGCAGCCCCAAGCAACAAGGCAAATCTGAAACCGAGTGTTACACCCATATATGGGGTTTGGGCCCAATTTGGAAAATTTGGCCATATTTAGGCCTTGGTTGGTTATTTGGCGTTTGGGCCTTTCAGGTTGTGAGTTTGGGCCTTAGTCTTGGTCCAAAAGATGTGAGGGGTAAATTGGTCATTTACCCTAGTAACGGATTTGTGCATATGGATTGGGACCCAAATGTTGATTGGGTGTTGTTTTGATAGTTTAGGGATCGGTTAGCCAGCAGCCAGAGATTTATCCGCGGGATTCAGCAGTGCGAGGTGAGTTTCCTCACTGTGTTTAGCGGGTTGAAGGCACCAATGGCGGCCCATGTTTTGTTATGTAGGGTGCTAGATGTATGTGTGACTCTTGCATGTATGTGCTTGTATGCTTACTGGGCAGGGCCCGATGGTGATTCTGTATGCTAGTATCTGGCTATATGTATATGACTTATATGTGGGCGGGGCCTGATGATTGTATGGTATGCTATTATCTTTGTGATTTTCGCATGTGTTTGTATGCTATATCATTATCTGCTATGTGTATATGTTATGCGAGTGTGGGTGGGGCCCGTATCTCATTTGGGCGGGGACCGTTATGCAAGTGTGGGCGAGGCCCGTATCTCATTAGGCGGGGCCCGTTATGTGAGTGTGGGCGGGGCTCGTGATGTTCTATGTATGTATAGTATGTGGTATCTTGGGGAACTCACTAAGCTTTGTGCTTACGGTTTACAATTTATGTTTCAGGTACTTCGGTTCAAATGGAAGAGCTTGGGATGATTGCAGGGCACACACCACATGTTTTCGCATTCCGTGAATTACTCTAATTTAATGATGTTTTGATAAATCTCAATTAACTTGGTTTTGTGGAAGTGATATGTATTAACGATTTATTAATCTAAAAACGAAAATTTTATGTCATTATTTTTGGGACGTTTCAATTACAATAATCTTTGGAATATAGTATTTTGGAATAGCAATAATTATTTCGGAGGTTCTATTCTGGAATGTCTCCATACATTTTGGACTGAAAAAGTCAATTATGGAGTACGATAGTCAACATCGTACATAGATGTGACATTATGAAATCACGAACACACATTCCTGACACCTAAAAAAATTGTTCCTTATATATAAATGGTATCACATGTAGTTAGTCACTTACTTCGGATCACTCGTAATTAATATTATGACTGCTTCAAGATGAGTTTCTCAAACAGTAACCACGAAGAAAACTTTACCAACTTGTATGTTTACTTAGACAACCTTCGGCGGACCAACCATCATAGTTACACCAGCATCAAAACCAATGTGATGGATCATT